TAAACTAGCGTTATCTATATGCCTAAAATTTAAACTTATCAGATTATGTAGACAACTTTTAATGAAATTAACAAAGAGATGTTTGAAATTTGAAACCATCATATGTGTGTCTCTCATGCGTGAAGCACTTAATCCATCAGAGACTTTCAAAATTAAAAAGAAATCAAACCCTTAAACTCCCTTTTGACTAATTATCTGTTAGTCATAGACCTAGCAGAAACAAATTGAGCTGTAAAATTTCGCTTTAAAAACGCCATTCTTAGCTGTGGACCAATGCCACATTTTAAAAGTTGTATTGGAGCCTAAATCTTACAATTAGCACTTTATTTATAATGTTGAATGCGAAACTATTAGCATCTATTAAACTGTACGATGCACACAAATCCTCTTCTCGGGGCTTGTAAAAATTATAAGAATAGTTTTTATGATCATGAGCTTGACGAGTTGTAGCACAAACTTGCACTACATTATCTGATTTTAAAGGAGAACTTTAGGTCTCAGGGGTGTTAAAAGTACAGAAATGAAAGTAAAAGGCTGGATTTGAGAAATTAATATTGTTTCTGGTGACTGAGCGTACCGATTAAAGAGACGAGCGAGCATTCAAAATTCCAATAAAATTTCTAGCTTCTTCAATGTACTTTGAAAGCACAATATTTTCTATCACACATTTCGGCTGTGTTCCAAAAATTAAAGAATAGTGCTTGCAAATGACAAAGTTTACATTCTCAAAAGGTCTTCTGTTTTGTAGAACCCTTTACCGATCTATTTGTGAGAAGTTAATGAAAAAATGAATAAATATGTAAAATAGCACTAGCCATAAGGACTAAAACAATCTTTTGTTCTACTCCTCATTTCTTTTTTTGAGAATCTCATGATATAATTCTCTTAATAGTCTTCTGAATCTAGCTTACATTAAACTTCTTACCAATTTAGCGAAAAAGCCGTCATCTGTCTACGAGACGGCCAATTATGCTTTCTTTGTCGAGTAGGCGATATGAGAAATACGCATTTAGTTGAGGCTCATGTCAGATTACAATTTATTTCGGATCGAGAAACTGCAGAAGGAGAGGTAAGCGACTGAAGCTTGATGGTAGGTAGACAATTATTTCTGCTTACTTTGTCCATTTCCAGATTGAGCCACTGCACCAATTTGAAATGAAAGTGGGTCCTACAATAACGGACGACGATCGCCTCTTTCTGGTTAGTTTGAAACATTTTTCAAGATTCTGTATTTCCACTTTCGAACACCATTTGTCTTCTTTCTTTCAATTGCGCAAAAGATCTCTAATCATGATCTTTTCAAATGCCCATTATAGAGGAATCCTCGCAGTTATATAACCCTCTTGGGGCTTCTATTGATGCAGAACAGTCCATTACTGAGAGGAAAGGCTACATGTAAGAAAACAAAGCTCTTTTCTCAGGAGTTGCATAACTAGTGCTGCCACATGAGGAGGGATTATAAAAGGAACTCAAAGGTGCTCTTGTTTATATGCGCCAGGAAGTTTGGCAGGCTC